TAAAGGTTTTGTGAAAATGTCGGCTAATTGGTTGTGTGTTTCAACAAACTCAATTTCGACATCACCTTTGAGAACATGATCTCTAATGAAATGATGCCTAATGTCAATGTGTTTCGTCCTTGAGTGAAGAACGGGGTTCTTCGTCAAGCTTATGGCGCTAGTATTATCACAACGAAGAGGAACGTGATTGATACTAAGGTCATAGTCCACGAGTTGTTGCTTCATCCAAAGGATTTGAGCACAACAACTACCCGCGGCTACATACTCCGCTTCGGTTGTGGATAACGCAACACTTACTTGTTTCTTGCTAAACCATGAGAATAAGGAACTACCAAGTAAGTGGCAAGTTCCACTCGTACTTTTACGGTCCAATTTGCAACCGGCAAAATCCGAGTCGGAGTAGCCGACGAGATGACAAGAAGAGCCTTTTGGATACCACAGTCCAACGTTAACCGTGCCGACAAGGTACTTCATGATCCGTTTCACCGCGGTTAAGTGCGATTCCTTCGGACATGATTGATACCTCGCGCAAAGGCATACACTAAACATGATATCCGGCCTACTAACGGTAAGATAGAGAAGGGATCCGATCATACCTCGATACTTTTTGACCTCTACTTCCTTACCTTTCTCGTCTTTGTCAAGATGGTCAGACGTGCTCATCGGGGTCGCCATGGCTTTGGCGTTGTCCATTTCAAACCGTTTTAGGAGCTCCTTACAGTATTTAGCTTGGCAAATGAACGTTCCATCTTTCATTTGCTTAACTTGGAGTCCCAAAAAGAATGTGAGCTCGCCCATCATTGACATTTCAAATTCGCTAGTCATTAGCGTCGAGAATTCCTTGCACAAAGACTCGTTAGTAGCACCAAATATAATGTCGTCTACATAAACTTGAACCAAAAGGATGTTATTGTTTTTACTCTTGATAAAAACTGTAGTGTCAACCAAGCACTCTTAACATCCATTTGATAAAGTTTAAAATCCATAGACGAAGCAAAAGCAAGAAGTAAACGAATAGCTTCTAAACGTGCCATAGGTGCATAAGTTTCTTCAAAATCAATGCCTTCTTCTTGATTGTAGCCTTTAGCTACGAGCCTAGCTTTTTTTCTAGTGATTATTCCATTTTCATCAAGTTTGTTACGGAACACCCATTTCATACCAATAATCGTTCGATCATCGAGACTTGGCACCAATTCCCAAACGTCATTCCGTTTGAATTGGTTTAGCTCCTCTTGCATAGCCAAGGTCCAATGTTCATCGTTTATTGCTTCGGAAATGGTTGTAGGTTCAATTTGAGATACAAAAGCCATGTGTCCTACGGTGTCCCTAAGAGAGTTACGAGTACTTACCCCGCGGTTGATGCTGCCGATTACCTGGTCAAGTGGATGGTTCCTGTGTGTTCTCCAAGCGATGGGAAGCTCGGTTTCCTCTTGTTCCTGGGCTTCCTCTTGTTCTTCTTCGTCTGCTTGGTCTTCACTTTCGACCATCACTTGAGGTGTTTCCTCAGGTTGTGGTTGCGGGTTGGTGTATAATGGTGTGTCTTCTTCATCGTCTTCAAGGTGTACTCTCTCTAATGAATCTGCAAGATCATCACAAATAGCCTTTCTCGCCAAGCGAGCATTATCTTCGGAAAATACAATATGAGGGGACTCCTCAATAGTCAAAGTACGTTTATTAAATACTCTATAGGCCTTGCTGCGAAGAGAATAGCCAAGAAAAATCCCTTCGTCCGACTTGGCATCAAATTTTCCCAAGTTATCTTTGCTGTTATTATGAATAAAACATTTGCAACCAAAGACTCGAAGATGGGAAAGATTTGGCTTTCTCCCTTTGTATAGATCCTAGGGCGTTTTCATGAGTATCGGTCGAATGATCACTCGGTTTAACACGTAACTCGCGGTAC